AAAAAAAAAAAAAAAACTACCTTCTTGTTACTATTCTGCTTATTCTGGGTTTAAGTTTCAGTCCCTACACACATCTGTAACACTTAAGCCCTGGAGTACTATCTTACCCACTCCTTCCTGTCCCACTGTCTCTGTCCAACACAGAGACTTATAATCTCTGCTTCTAGCTGGGCATGGTGGGTCATGGGTATAATGCCAGCTACCCAAGAAGCTGAGGCAGGAGGATCGCTTGAGCCCAAGAGTTTGAGGCTGTGGTGCATTTTGACTGCACCTGCAAATAGCCACTGCACTCTAGCCTGGGCAACACAGCAAGACCTCATCTCTTAAATTAACAACAACAAACAGGCCAGGCTCAGGGCTCATGCCTATGATCCCAGCACTTTGGGATATTGAGGCAGGAGGATCACTTGAGGCCAGGGGTTTGAGACTGGCCTGGGCAACACAGTGAGACTCCATCTCTACCATAATTAGCCAAGCTGGTGGTATACACCTGTAGTCCCAGCTATTAGGGAGACTAATCTGAGAAGATTGTCTAAGTCCAGGAGCTTGAGGCTGTAGCAGTGAGCTGGATCATTCCACTGCATTCCTGCCTGGGCAACAAGAGTACACAGACCCTGTCTCTTAAAAAAAGAAAATCTACTTGTACACAACCCTTCCCTGAATAAATTCTATAAAACTCTAAATACACATTCTTTCATTTCTTCCATTTCTCAAACTATATAATGGCCATAGATGGTTTTATTCTCTATTATCCAAGAGGTCAGTGATTATCTTTCCTATTTAGAAATGCAAACTGAGGGAATGTCCCAGAGCTAAAAGAATTTGACCTGTCATCCTTGATCGTGTAGTTTTAGCTGGAGCCACTAGGTGCCACTCTTGTGCCTCTAACAAGTTATTTATCACTAAATGCCATTACTAGAGGGATAGGTGATCTTAGGTGGAAAGAGCACAAGTTCTACTCAGTACCCTGGAGAGTGGAAAGAGCATGGGTTCTACTCAGTACCCTGGACCACTCATTTCCCTGGGCTTGGGACCCAGTCCTATTCAACTACAATAAAGTCCTATATGATAGCAATGTTAGTGGGCTTCGGAGCAAGATCCTGGAACAAATCCTAGCCTTGCACTTACTGGCTATGTGGCTCTGAGAAAACCATGAAAGCTCTGTAACCAATTTCCTCAACTGTAAAATGAGAAAATTGAAACCCAACTCATAATATCATTGTGGAGATTGAAGTGGAAATCTTGGTACAGATTAGGTATTATTAGGTATTCAGTAAATGCTCCTTCCTTCCAAGACCTATGACTACAGACTGGTAAGACCATAAGTTCAGTAGCCATCTGCCAAGTTAATTGGGCTATGAATAGCCCTAAGGCTATGAGCAGTTGCTATAGCAAGAGTAGGGTAAAAGAGGTCAGATCATTTCTTTATGAGAAATGATTTGGTATTGGAGAGGCTTAGGCAAAAAGACTTCATAGGCTAAAACAATCCTAGATCCTGAGGAGTCTCTCTCTGTCCATGCATCCCAGTTCCTATGATAATGGCACATGCCTTATCTTGAACACCTATCCCTAGAAAGCTGAAGATGTGGGTAGCTGTAGTGAACTGAATTTAGCCCCCCACCCCAAATATGTCCAGGTCATAAGCCCCATAACCTATGAATGTGAGTTTATTTGGGAAAAGAGTATCTGTATATGTAATTAAGGATCTCAAGATGAGATGATCCTGGAATTAGGGTAGGCCACAAATCTAATGACAGGTGTCCTTTAAAAAGAAAGGTAGAGGGATATATGACAGAGATGGGGGGAAAGACTATGTGAAGATGGAGATAGAGATTAGAGTTGTGCAAACCACCACAAGGAATCCCTTCCACCAGAAGCTAAAAGAAACAAGAAAGGATTCTCCCCTAGAGCCGTCAGGGGAAGCATGGCCGTGCTAATGCCATGATTTGGACTTCTGCCTCCAGAACTGTGAAAGAATACATTTTGGTTGTTTTTAAGCCATCAAGTTTATAGTAATTTCTTACAGAATTCCTAGGAAACTATAGGTTTTAGTTTTATTTGTTCAAGGCATAGGCAGCAGCACTCCAAGTTGGATGGAAAGTGGCCAGATCGGGGGGAATGGGTGGAGGGAGGGGGTTTGGAGGGATTACTTCTGAGGTTTACCTTATAGGGGTACAGGTGAATCTTTCTAAGAGTAGAATGTGAACGTTTTAAAGCAATAACTGAGAAAATGACATGAAGGCTGTGTTGACCAGTTTGATGGAAGTATTTCAGATTGCATGTGAAAACCCCACACTGTACCCCAGAAGTGCATTAATGTACATAGTTACCATTCAATAAAAAAAAAAAAAAAGAAAGAAAGAAAGTGGCCAGAACATTTGTGGTGAACCAGCTGGATGGAACAGCAGATGCATCCCTAGAAGGTGTGTCCTGGAAGGAACGTACAGCTTTGAAAATAGGTGCAGTGAATGGGTATTTATAGGGGCCTACTGCTGCTCTCTGCCTCTCCAGCTATACTGAAGAGGAGGATAGGCAAAGCCATGAGATGCTGGGATGCCTGGGGACCTGGGGGCCGCCTCCTCCAATTAGGCAAGCAGCAGATGGAAGGGGAGAGCAGCAGAGGAAGTGTCTGAGGCCCTGCTAGTCATTCTCTCACAAACAGTGTGTAAAAACTTTACTAAGGTACTGACATGCAGTAAACTGCATCTATATTACATAATGCACAAATGTTAAATTTTGACACATGTACAATCATCACAGTCAAGTTAATGAATATAACCAACACCCTCAAAAGTTTCCCGCTGCCTTCATAATCATTCCCTCTCACTCTCCCCTCCCATCCTCAAGTTACCACTGACCTATGGATTAGTTAGCTAACTATGGATTAGCTAGCACGTTACACAATTTTATATAAATGCAACCAAATAGAATGTACTCCTGTATTTATTTCTGGATTTTCTCTCTCAGGTCAGTACTTATTGGCTGAGCCAATATAAAAATAATTTTTTAAAGGAGAAACTTCAGATTTCCTGCATCCAAAAAAGTAAACAGATAAAATGTATTTTTTGATTAGTCAAAACTAAACATAAGAATCCCACCATATCATCTCATTATAATAGTAGCTATGTGCTTAGTTCTTTACCTACATTATCTTATTCAAAATTCACAACGATCATTTTTTTTAAAAAGATAGGAACTCTTGGCTTGGCGCCTATGGCTCAGCAGCTAGGGTGCCGGCCATATACACTAGAGCTGGCGGGTTCAAATCCAGCCTGGGCCTGCCAGACAACAACAACTACAACCAAAAAATTGCTGAGTGTTGTGGCGGGTGCCTGTAGTCCCAGCTACTTGGGAGGCTGAGGCAAGAGAATCACCTGAGCCCAGGAGTTTGAGGTTGCTATGAGCTGTGATGTCACAGCACTCTACTGAGGGTGACAAAGTGAGACTATCTCAAAAAAAAAAAAAAAAAAGATAGATACTCTCTCTGTTGCCGAGGCTGAAGTGCAACAGCCCAAAAATGGCTCATTGCGACCTCAAATTTCTGAGCTCAAATGATCCTCCTGCTTCAGCCTCCCATGTAACTGGAACTACAAGTGCATGCCACTATGCCAAGATGGTTTTCAAAAAATTTTTTTACTGGGCGGTAACTGTGGCTCAGTGAGTAGGGTACCAGCCCCATATACTGAGGGTGGTGGGTTCCAGCCAAACTGCAACAACAAAAAAATAGCTAGGCGCTGTGGCAGGTGCCTGTAGTCCCAGCTACTTGGGAGGCTGAAGCAAGAGAATCACCTAAGCCCAAGAGCTGGAGGTTGCTATGAGCTGTGACACCATGGCACTCTACTGAGGGCAACAAAGTGAGACTCTGTCTCTAAAACTCTGTCTCTTTTACTGATGGGGTCTTGCTATGTTGCCCAGGCTGGTCTCCAACTCCTGGCCTTAGGCAATCTTCCTGTCTAGGTGTCCTAAAGTACTGGAATTATAGGTATGAGCTACTGTGCCTAACCTCGCAACAATCATTTTAGATATACCTATTTTACTAATAAAGAAATTGAGGCATAGAAAGGTTAAGTAACTTCCACAATAATGCCAACCAGAATGACAAAATGGAATTCAAGTGATGTTTAACCATGCCCTCTACCTCTGTCTAATGCTACATTCTCTAAAGTTTTTCTGACCCACAGGTTTCCTTGCTGAAAGGCTAGCCTCAAATTATATAGTCTAAAACGCTGGCACCCACTCAACCTGAATTGGAAGATTTCTACCAACTTAATTATTATTTTATACTTACCTGCTTCATCTCACACGAGCAGTGGTAAAGAAACGGGTGCTGTGTAGTCTCCTGAAATGCTTTGTGCAGTTTGGTCCCAAACTCCTGTGTGTCAGCTGCCTAAAATGAGCCAGAGATAGAAGATGCTGAGTTCCAGCTAGAAAGCAAGGGAGAAGTCATCACAGAAGTTTACATAGGCAGATAGAGGACCAGACAGATAGGAAGGCAAACCATGAGTTGCTCTTGTGATGTTAGGAGTTTCCTTAGTTTTTGTGAAGGCAGGAGAGGATGAGAGGGACTGGGATCATACAGGGCATGAGTGAGGTGGTCGTGGCTCCCATATGTCTTCCTACTTCCATCACCTAAGCAAAATCCTTCATGCAAGGTCTTTGTTCTCCTATTTCTATAAGAGATAAATACCCCAGAGATTCATTGTTCATGGAGGATTATATATACTGCTCGCCCACTGAACAACTGAGGTAGACAGGAGAATTTTTCCTCAGATGCCTTTTAGGGAGAAAGAGGACTAAAGAATACAGGGAATGGGCCATAGCCTTCTACTTTTTAATACAGAATTGTAGGACATTAGAGTCAAAGGGGACCAGAGTACTCAATGCAACACACTAATTTTATGGATGAGAAAATGGAAATTTGAAAAAGAGAAGTGATTCTCCCAAGATCTCACAGCTATTCAGTACAAAAGTTAGGGCTCTAATGCATACCTTTAAATTCCCAATACAGAATTCTCTCTACCCTGTGCTGGCCACTTGACCCAAAAAGTTGAAGCAATGACAAAATGCCACAGTTTATAAATGTAGCAGCCCATATAGCTTATGGTGAGGAGGAGTATGAGTTCTAAGAAACACTCATATAACTTGGTAATGTAACACACTGGTGATAAGGGCATGGGGAGGGATCTGGCTCTCCTTACAAACATGAGAGCTTGAGAGACGAGGGCATCAGTGATTGGCAGTCTCTACACCTGTGGCGTTAAGAGCCACCAGAGTGTGTCTATAAGAGGCTGGAGGAGAAGGCAGTCGGGTGCACATTCCATCACGGACCCGCTCACTCTGACTCTGTCACTTTTTCTGCCTGCAGAACGCCTACACGGCGTCTCTCTATGAAAGACTGCTAAGATGTATTCTTCTTACTAAGACTGCTTTACTCCCTCAAATTCTTTCTCTCTCTCTCTCCCTTCTGCTAAAGCAAATAGCCTTCAGGTACCTAAGAGCAATTGTTCCCAAGCAAGTCCGAGTGTGGAACCTAAATAAGTGGGGGGCTGGAGACCTGGCCAGTCCTGGGCCCCAGTAAATGGTGACCATGAAAGGACTCCAACATACAAAGGTGTTGTACTCTTCGACTTGTACGTCCACCAATTTATTATAGGAAATAATTCAAAAGAAGCAACATATCATATAAAGGTATTACTGAATCACTGCTCACTATTTATATAAACAGAAAGACTTGTAAACAACTTAAATGCCTAACAGAGGAATGTTTTTGTTTTGTTTTTCAGACAGAGTCTCACTATATCACCCTTGGTAGAGTACTATGGCATCACAGCTCACAGCAACCTCAAACTCTTGGGTTTAAGTGATTCTCTTGCCTTAGCCTCCCAAGTATCTGGGACTACAGGCGCCTACCATTAACACCCATCTATTTTTTGTTGCAGTTGTCATTATTGTTTAGCTGGCCCGGGCCTGGTTCAAACCTGCCAGCCTAGCTGTATGTGGCCTGGAATGGGGTTTTTTGTTTGTTTTGGAGATAGTCTCACTTTGTCACCCTTGGTAGAGTGCTGCGACATCATAGCTCACAGCAACCTCAAACTCTTGGGCTCAAGTGATCCTCTTGCCTCAGCCTCCCAAATAGCTGGGACTACAGGTGCCTACCACAACACCGGGCAATTTTTTAGAGGTGTGGGATTGCCTGAGTTCACAGGTTTGAGACCAGCCTAAGCAAGAGCGAGAACCTGTCTCAGCCTCCCAGAGTGCTAGGATTATAGGAGTGAACCACCATGCCCAGCCTAGGAATGGTTTATTAAATTAGATAAAAACCACAGTGGAATATTATGAGGTCTGACAATTAAGTTCACAAACCTGCCACCATGCACATATGTTGGGAGCACCGTACCAATAGCTTGGTAAGGTTTCATAACCTTGGTGTATCAGTATTTCACAGTTGTGTTCGTGTGGGCATGTGGTGATGCCTTGCTGAGTGGCATTCATTATTGTTATCGCATGTTTTTGTGTGCCATCTAGAGGATGTCAGAGCTGGAATCAGAGCAATAAGCAAAGATTAAATTTCTTGTTAAACTTGGCAACAGTGGAAGTGAAATCAGGGACTTGTTAGGGACAAGTTTATGGATAATGCCATGAAGAAAATGGCAGTGTACAAATGGATTTAACATTTTCTGAGGGAAGAGAAAGCGTCACTGATGAAGAGAGGTCAGGGTAGTCAGTAATGAGAAATATTGCAAAATATTGCAAAAATTCCTCAAATTGTGTGTCAAAATTATCAGCTGACTGTGAGAGGCATAGCAGACCAAGTAAACATCGATAGAGAAAGCAGAAAATCTTACCTGGAAATCTTTTTTTTTTTTTTGAGACAGAACCTCAAGCTCTCACCCTGGGTAGAGCACTGTGGCATCACAGCTCACAGCAACCTCCAACTCTTGGGTTTATGCAACTCTCTTGCCTCAGCCTCCCAAGTAGCTGAGACTACAGGCACCTGCCACAATGCCCGGCTATTTTTTGGTTGCAGCTGTCATTGTTGTTTGGTGGGCCGGGGCTGGATTCGAACCCGCCAGCTCAGGTGTATGTGGCTGGTGCCCTAACCACTTGAGCCACAGGTGCCAAGCCTTAACTGGAAATCTTGCCATGAAAAAAGTGTGTTCTAAAGGAGCTCACCAATGGACAAAAGCAAAGGAGAGTCAAAGTTTGCCAAGACCTCTGGAGAGGAAAGACAGTGTTTGGGGCCATGTTATCACTGGTGATGAAACACAGGTGTACCAATACAATCCTGAAACAAAGTGCATCATGTAAGGCAGCCAGATATCCACAACCAAACCAATCCATCAGTCTGAATCCAGAGTCAAAAGGATGTTGCTGACTTCTTTTGCATCGGAGGGATTGTTCATTATGAATTTGTACCAACTGGATAGTTAACCAAGTTTACTATTTGGAGAGTGGGGGAAAGGCTGTGTGAAAAAGTTAAACGAAAATGACCTGAACTTTCTACCAAAAACTCATGGCTCTTGCATCACAATAGTGCACCAGCTCACACAGCACTGTCTATAAGGGAGTTTTTAGCCAGTAAACAACTATATTGGAACAACCTCCCTACTCACCCGATTGGGCCCCACTGACTTTTTTCTTTAAAGGAAATATTGAAAGACAGGCATTTGGATGACATTCAGGACATCAAGGGTAATACAATGACAGCCCTGATGGCCATTCCAGAAAAAGTTCCAAAATTGCTTTTAAGAGTGGACTGAGTGCTAGCATCAGTGCATAGCTTCCTAAGGGGAATACTTCAAAAATGACCATAGTAATATTTAGCAATAAGGTATATAGCACTTTTCTAGGACAAATTTGTGAACTTAAACATCAGACCTCATAGTTAACTGAAACAAACTAAGACTATTAAAATAGGGGAAAATGTCAATTTTACAAGAAACTAGAATGCTTTGGTCATAATTATATAACATATGAGATATGCAAAAATTTTTAATTATGGTGATTACTTAGTGATTACTTCAAATTGTAGGTGTGTTGTACTATCTTACAGGAAAAAAAAAGAACAACAAACCAAACCAAGAGACTTGGAACTGATGTGTTACCCCTGATAATACCAGTTGGTCAGCACATATTCCTAAAAGAAAGGAAAGATATGAACATTGCTGAAGGGCCTGCCATATGCAACCCATTTCCATGCTGTCTTGGTCCTTCTGTGCTGCTGGAACAAATTACCACGGGTTGGTGGACTATAAACAATAGACATTTATTACTCACAGTCCTAGAGGCTGGAAATCTAAGATGAAGGAGCCGGTGTGTTTGGATCCTGGTGAGGGCCCTCTTCCAGGTGGCAGGCTGCCCACTTTCCCCTGTGTCTCACATGGCAGAGAGGCAAGGATCTCCCTTGGGCCTCCTCTATATGAGGGTGCACCTAATGACCTAATCATCTCCCAAAGGCCCCACACCTCCTAATACCATCACGCTGGGGGTCTGGATTTCAACATATGAATTTTGAACAGATACAGACATTCAGACTATATCACACATTTAGTCTTTCTCAGAATGATGCTGTGAGGTTCTATTATTTTTTCCAGTTCATAGGTGTGGCTTAGAGAAGCTGAATACAGGCATACATCCACATAACTAGTAAGTAAATGAGTGAGAATTTGAGCCTAAGGCTTTGATTCCAAAACTCTTTACACCATTCCATACCATCATACACATGTAACCCTTAAGGTTGATCAGTTATTCCAATGTATTCTATCACCATGAGGTAGCAGAGCATTTCAACAAGGAACTGGAAATCACTGATCTAATCCTAATCCTAGCTCTCCTCTTTTTTTTTTTTTTTTTTCCGAGACGGAGCCTCAAGCTATCCCCCTGGGTAGAGTGCCATGGCATCATGCTCACAGCAACCTCCAACTCCTGGGCTCA